CTTTTTTTGCCATATAAAATGTTTATCTGATTTTATCAAATCATGCCACAAGTTTTATGACTCTTGAAGAAAACAGATTATATCGAGACCTGTAGAGATAATGGGTTCAGTTATGATCAAACCACTTTTTGAGTGTTCTCTGTGTATTCAAGGTCACTTGTTGGAATCCAAATTTTGTTTGTATGTAATAAATCTGGATCCTCTACTCTACTTAATCTGGAACATTTAGCTGTTAATATAATCAGTTGATAATTATCAACCCATGTATGTCTTTTCAAGTTTTATCATGTTGAGTGATTTTCTTCCTTCAAGGTCACATTATTATTCCATCTGTTTTTAATTAAATATTTCAAAAACTGACATAATATTTAAAGATGGTGCTCATGTTTATATTTCAGATATAGCAAGTTACAGCATCATTCTATCATCTGTGATAATAACATTAATGTGAACTTAATTTATTGCCCAAGTTAAAGCATGCTTAATCATACTTTCTTACATTAATGCCAGTGTTACAGAACATCTTATGACTGTATTAACTTTGTCATGTATTCACTAAGAAGGAGCTAGCTAATTCACGCATCTCGTTCTTATACTGAGCGTGACTTCTGGCACAACGAAAGTAGCCTTGTCTATTTATTTATTTATTTAGTGTTCTGTCTGACGACAGGTCCATATGAACAGGATCCTTCCATCCTTTTCTCGGACTGGGACCTGTTCATATACGTTCTTGGCAGATGATCCAAAAGTGGTTTGCCATAGCCTTCTTCTGTGTGTGAATGGAGTAATTGTTGGGATGCCAATGAGGAAAACTCCGTGTTGCCTAGGCCACGGCCTTGCCCAACACAAGTTAAAAATTCGGGCCCCGCCGGACTGCCTTCATATATTAGTATCGTCTATAAACAAACTAATTTTTGTTAGCCTTGAACTGTAGCAGTGTTGCTTACCACAACTGCCTAAATTAGTACACATCATTATAGCCAAGAAATAAAAATGGCAGAAATCCCAGTTTCTTGTAGTTTAATTTTACAAATTTTATTATCAAGAGTAAATCATGAAGTAGTAATATGTTGACACAAGTTTTTTACAAGTGTGAATTATACAGAAATGCATAGAATCGAAGGTGCAAAGAAATTTAGTTTCGTATCATCAGGATAAGCCCATGTGGAAAGCCTGATCACTGTTTTTAGGTTCCAGGCATATGAAGTCGCTGAACTGCTCACATATTCATGTTATAAACCAAGAACACACAATACTAATGATTTTTAATGCTTTTCAAATAGTTTATTTTACTTCCATTAAGTTGCATTATCAAGTCATTAAAGAATCAACTTTATGATCAGTTGTTGTTTCTCAGCTCTTCAACCTGGTTGTGGGTTTTTGCCACCTCATTTTCAGAGAGCCATCTAGTAGTTATTCAGGAAACTTGAGTGAGAAATGGCCACTGAATTTTGCTTGCGAAAGATCTCGTATCACGCTCGTAAGGTTCTTTTACATGCCTTAAATCTGCAACATGGAACCACCAGCTATACTTCCCCTCTGAAGGAAGTTGTGCTGCAGATTTTTATCACCCTTAAAATCCATCGACCTTGGCCGGGATTGAACCCGCGAACCTTGGGTCCAGTGGCGAGCACGCTAACCACTAGTCCAGCGAGGGCGACACTTTATGATCAGTACTTTTGTGGTAATAAGCTATAAGAATTAGTCATAATTGCTGTATGAGACAGAAAAGAATATTTATGTTAATAGCTTTTGAAGAACTACATCATTTCTGTGAAAACTCATAATTAGAAGTGATATCATACAGAAGTATTCTAAGATGTCATGAGTATGTCCTTAAAATATGTAAATATGTTAGGTAGATTTAAAAAAATAGTATTTATTATGTTTGGGGCTGAGATTTTCAATCAGTATCTGGCATTTTGTATGGTAGCTTCAAGCAGCTCTAGAACAGCAACCATACCCAAAATACACCCATGATAAAAAGGCTTTAAACACATTTTCTGTGCAGCTAAAAACTTCTGCCAGCATTTATACAGTTTTTAAAAACATTTTTGGAAGTGTCTTTATGCAGTCTCCTGCAACACACTCTTCAGAGCTGCTTGAAACAAGTGAACATTGCATAGTGTGGGGAAGTAGCACGGTTTGGGGAGCTGCTTTTGGGGCATTCTCATGCACAAACTCCTGGTCATTGACCACTCATATTTTGCATTTATTTAGGCAAATTACGTACTAGAGATCGGTGAGCACTGTTTTATCCTCTTGTTCACTCTGACAAGCACAAGAATGTGTGAGATGCAGAGTATCATTCTAGTCCCAAAAGATTTTCAACGTGACCTTCCCATTTGAGTGGCCCCACCCGAACTTCATGGCTCTCAGTAGCAGTGATGACTTCCACGTGGAGCACTGTCATTTACTTTGCAGATATTACAGGAAAAACCAAGTCTCATAACGTGTGAGGATCTTTTGGATGAAGTGTGTATCGTTATCTGCTGTGCTGATGAGCTTATCACTGATCTTCATGTTCTTCTTTTTCTTCTTCTATGGCTCTCCGGTCCATATTCGGTCCATGGCCTCCTCATTTCTCCTCTTCCATTCGGAGTCCGTCTGTCCGAGGCTTTGATTGAGGTTTCGAAACATCTTCCTTTTTACGGTGCAAGGTTGTTAGCCTTGCGACCAACCCCCCAACCTGGAGGACCAACTGATCTTCATGTAGTCATTATATTATTCCTGCATAAGAATTCTTGTTGCATTGTGTTGGTAGATATGGTACATCTTCAAATCCTTCCTGAGGACGTTGTGGCAACTGCCAACTGAAATTCTGCATTTTTCTATACTGTATGATGACAGATTATGCAACCCTCTATACATAACACTCATTGTCATCATTCTGCGATGTTACACGTCACCCACTTCATGGGTTATCTTCCGGTTCACAAATATCCTTGAACTTTTGATGCTACTGGGTCGTTGTTTATTTATCATTGACTGTCGAAAGCATTTGAAGCTGCAAAAATTTGTTGCTATCCCATTTCTAAAGACAGTCCATTTCTATCCTTCTAGACCATCCAGTACATTGTTCTGTACTCTGGACCTGTTGCACGTATTAATCTAATGACAAAATAACAAATTCAATTTTTGTAAGGTGCGTGTATTCCGGGTTTCACATAATATTTGATTCTTATTACACGCCTTTGTAATAAAATATCCCCAGTGCTGATAAGTCAGGTATATGTACAGACCAATGGACAGGAACCATGAGTTTGGATCTGCTCAAAACTCCTTGTTTGCAACATAAAGCTTTATAAATGGTCTCTTAGTTGTTATTTCCGTTTCTAAGTACTTTTTAACTTTTAATTATAGAGACGGAAAGGTTAGTTGTGATATCATTTTCATATCCAAATAAACGAGTCAAGTAGAGGTATAATTATGCAGAGTGAAGTAATAACTTTTAACTGTGCAACAAGAATCAGTTACCTTGAGTATTCCTCTAAAAGACTTCTGTTAGCAGCCAGTTTATGGGTGAGCTTATCCAGTTCTATAGGGGACAGGGACTCCACTCCATATTGATCTTTGAATGAGTATAGTTTATACCAGGTTGGATTCACATTGGGGTTTATGTTGGCTTCTGTCAGATTGAATATCCAGGTTTCAGCATCAAGAATATTCTGCAAGTAATTCCAAATTAATGATGAATAACTAACTAACTAGATGGCTTACCGAACCCGAAGGTTCATCACCGAATTAACCAAAGCCCTCCACCGGACCCTGTCCTGTGCCAACAAAATCCAGTCTCCTTCAACTCCTATCTCCCATAGATCCCGCCTTAGATTATCCTCCCATCTACGTCTAGGTCTCCCCAGCGGTCTCTTCCCCTCAGGCTTCCCAACCAGTACCCGGTGCACACCTCTTGTCCCATCCATGCGCGCTACATGTCCCGCCCATCTCACTCTTCTCGACTTAATCACCCTCACAATACTGGGGGAGCATTACAGATTTTTAAGCTCGTCATTGTGCAGTTTTCTCCACGCCCCATCGTCTTCCCTCTTAGGCCCAAATATCCTCCTCAACACCCGATTCTCAAACACCTGCAATCTGTGTTCCTCCCTCTGAGTGAGAGACCATGTTTCGCACCCATACAAAACAACAGGCAAGATTATTGTTTTGTATACTTTAATTTTCAGGTTCTTAGAAATGATGAATACCTATGTTAAAAACGTGCTGATATTTACAAGAGTGACTGCATGAACAGAATTTTTGCTTTGATCCAAAGTACATAGCCAACACATTCATTCCTTACAAGGAGCAAAGTTGTTGCCATTTCTCAGTGCATGGATGTAGATAAAGGAAGTGAAATTGGTATTTTATACTTATTCTTATGATTGTGGTTTTGACTTTTCCAGTTGCTACAAGTTTTAGATTGTGGTTTTTAAATGCATTTCCACAACACATTACCATAAGGTGTTCTTTAAATTACGTATGCGTGGGAGAACACATCTGTTTTTCAAACACAAGGGTTCTCGTTGGTAAGCATTTCCAATACCAAGCCTCTCTTTCCACCGCCATGTCTATTAGATCAAACCTCCTTACCCCATCATCTCATATACTCACGTAAGTGGCGGAATCCACACTGTATGTCTTATAATTAGAGTTTAGGTCATTGAATGTGGTTACACTTCCACCATTGATTGCCATACTGATAGGACGAGTTGATTCATTAGTGGCGTAATAGACATGAAAGTGATCATTATGTGTGTGTCCATTAAAAATAGCTCTTATCGTGTTTTCAAATCTGAAAATAAATGTACACACATTATAAATTATTCTGATCTTATGTTATGTATGGCAGCTGCAACTTGAATGTTTATACTTTTCATCTCTACGTCTCGGTAGAGTATATTTTATGAAGATGATCATATGTAAATTAAATTATAAATAGAGGGACAGGGCAGCTAAGATTCTACTGGAGGAAGAATATTGGATATTTTTTAATACTGGAATTTAATCTCTCAGGAGATTATAATCTGAAGGCTAAGTCGAGTGTGTTTTCAAGTTGTTATCATGTCACCAGGAACATAAAGATAAATCATAGCACATCATATTTTTAATCTATTCATTACTTCATCATCTGTTTTGTTGAAGTGACAAAAATCAAGTTTATCTTCGTTGCATTAAGTATTATAACTGATTGTTTTGTCCCACTTCTTATGACATTGGTAGCAGGATACGTTACTAACCTGTCAATGATCTTGTGGAATTCTCGGCTCCATGTCCTGAGACATTCTGTGTCTCCTGTAGGGATGTGAGCAAGAATGTGAACGTTTTCTCCATCATTTTCAGCCTGGAGCAGTGTGTCCGCCAACCACTGTAGCTGGCCATCTTGGTCTTTTGGGTTGTAAACCAACCACCTGCCAAATAATAAGATATTTCTTCTTTGTACACTTATTGTCTAAACAAGCTTGTGCTTCTGAACTTATCTGTCTCATTCTAGTAAGTGACACATGTGCTTATTTATGGCTCTCCAGTTCTACAAAATATCGCAAAAAGATATATATACACACACACATTCAGTGAATCAAATGATGACATTTTAATTAAACCATTATGTATATCAGCGTGGCACTTTGTGAATTATCAGCTGACTGACAGGCAGCCACTAAAGTTGCTGCTGGGACAGCGCAAGACCATTCAGGGTTTTTTTTTTCTCTCCAGAACTCTTGAAGTGTTGCTGAATTTGTGCTGTGTACTGCGTCCTTCAAGTAACCCCACAAGAAAAGTCAGGTGGAGGGGCAGATCCTCTGCATCATATCCATTGGTCCAGATCATGAGAAATGATATTGCATTGTCATCTGTCAAGCGTAGACCACACTAGTTTCCCCTCATAATCACAGCACATGATGATTGATAGTAACGTTAATATTTTATATTATAATATGTATAATTCTTTTTGAGACAGCCGGTATTATATTTGTAATTTTGACTACTGAAATTGAATAAGTTTGACTGAAGGTAAGAAGGATCTTGGTTCACTCATGGTTTACGTGTTGTCCCAGATTTGCAACTTCTGTCTACCTAAGATAGTGTAATTGCATCATATTGTGAATATTATATCAATTATTTATTTTAATCTGTCTGATCACAATATAATTTTATTTAAAATTTCTTATAATTGAGATAATAAAATATCATTCATGTTCCTTATCGATTGATCGATTTACATTTCGAGCAATCGATAAGGAACATGAATGATATTTTATTATCTTAATTATAAGAAATTTAAAATAAAATTATATTGTGATCAGACGGATTAAAATAAATAATTGATTCTGTCTACCTGTCTAACATCATGTTAAGTATTGGTTATTGTGCGTGTGTGGATATGGGTTTAATATAATGTTTAACAGCTTGTGTTTTTGTATGAATAGTATGTGAAATATGGTTTTACTAGAAAATGTCAGAGAAAATTTCTTCGTAAATTTCCTGGGTTCACAGTTCCAGCACAACAGACTTCCAGGTCTATTGGGTAACTTCTGGGCAAGAAACCTCCTTGAAATATGTTGTGTACTTCCCAAAGAAAACTAGACGAAGTAAGGGCTGGGTTAGAACACATGCCACAGAAATCACGGAGATGCCTTGCACAAGAGACCAGCATCTTGAAATTGTCAGCATCCAAAGCAACAGCAGTGAATTTTAACATATTTAAATGGTACAGAGATTGCATACATGCACGAAAGACATAATTTTCAGCATCTCTTATAATACAGTTAAGTTTATCTTATTGTTTTGTGGGGTAATACTTTACTTGTATTGAGAAAATCTTGTAGCAGTTGGCACTGATTCGTACACTTCCTGTCGATAGTTACGATCTAACAGAAGCACAGACAACCCTGAAGTTGTGATGTGGAATATAAAATAAATATGTGGATCTTTTTAACTGAATACTGTGGTATAATGTGTGTTGTTTGAGATATTCTTTTAATGTCAAAAGCTAGTTATGAAAGGCATGAAACGATATCAGATCAAATTGCTCTGAAAAGACTTTTCATTCTTACACTTATCAGATTATTTTATGTAACATGAAGTGAATGGGTTTTTTTTTTTTTTTTCAAAATGGAAGGGAACAATTTCTTATGAACAAGAGCATGAATTGTATAAGGTAAGAATTTTGATAGCTCTTTTTTTAAGATTATGCTCTCTGTTTACCAGTTTAAATTGTAGCAGACATTATTGTTTAGAACTATGATTCGAAACCCAGGCCGCGCTAGCACAGTGTAGAATCCTCCTCGTAAAATAGTTTCTCTGGTGTCTGGTGGCAACCAAACAGACCACAGGTCTGCTACCAGTTCATATAACCATTTTGTGGAAACTTTCTCATCAGTAATGTAATGAGGTGCGTACCTGTAAAGAAATAACAGTCATGTAGAAGTAGACAAATTTTTCAGAAACCTTCTGTAAATTTCAGTTTTTTGAGTAAAATGTACCAATTATTTTTTATATGTGATCTTTTACAGTAAGGGAAGAACACTAAATTTTAAGTATTTGAAGAAGAATGGAATGGAAAATATTCAAATTTAAAGCATATTAACTTAGTAGGGAGCAGATGATGAGAAACCTAAATAGATTCAGTAGATAAATTAAGAATACTATTGGATCAGTATGTAGCTCAGATGGGTGGTATAAAAAATGTTGTAGCATTATGAAGAGGAGACTTACTGGGAAATTTGGTGCTTGGAAGACTGAAATAGAGATACATACTGAAGATGTTTTTTGGACTGAACTGACTTAAGATAGAGACCTGTGGAAGGTTGTTAGGTATTGGTGATTTTGAAGCTTTCTGTTCTATTAATAATGAGTTAATTTTTTAGTTAAGCAAGTTAGGACTGCCACTTATTTGAAAGCATAAAGATACTTTTGTTTTTTTGTTGATTCCTATTTTGTATATCAGCCGTTCCCAAATTAGGAGTCGCAGCCCCAAGGGGTTTATGAAGCTTTCATAATGGAGCTGATGGCCTTATTATAATACATATTAAACTACAAACACTCAATAAAGAACTTCATTTATATAATTAAGGTTCATTAATAATTACTTTTTTTGAATCCCTAAACAAAACTTTAGTAAAAAGAGTTTGGAAACCACTGATGAAAATAAAAGATTTCAGAACTGCTTTATAAGGGATAGAAATTAAATATAAAGCTACTCAGTAAGCACCAGATAAATAAAAAAGTATATCATTCATGTATTTAATAAATAGTTATGGACAAACTGAATAACTTACATGAAATTATAGTATGCTGATAAATTGTATGCATCTGCATACTTAATTTTCAGACTTTTTTTTTTTTTCATTTTTTTCATTTAAATTAGGACTGAAAATCTTAATCTGTAAATATAAAATGCACTCACGCATTTAGTGGACTTGGTTCATGGTTTCCCAGAATTGGATACACTGGTGTGTCTGGAAAATCTGTCCTCATTTTTTGTGTAACTTTTGTTATTACATCGGAATTCTTTTGAATGCTGGTATTCCATATTGCATGGTCTACGATGTCCCCAGTCATGTAGATATAATCAATTTTCTGCAGGAATAATATAGATAAAATAATAATTGTGTAACACTGTGAAATCTGTTGCTTTTAATTTGTATTACCTTTATGAAACTTCAATTGATTGATACTTTCATATCATTTTAACTTTTATGGTCCAATTAACTGGTGATGAGCTCCCATACATACCATAATGAACCATTTGGTTCCATAAAAGGTGGGGAATTCATTGATTAATTGTGCAAATGTTAGCTTCTAAAGAAAGGCTTTGTTCCATGTAGCCAGTTAAGTAAATCAGAAGCTACACAGATTTTAATGATTACGAGTATATTAGTGATTTTTATAATTCTCAGGCAAGAATGTTTTGTGTGGGAATATCACTGTGGGTAGACACCAAGTCAATGAGATATAAAAAATGTTTAAACTCTGATTACATGAAGGTACAAAATTCATATGTGAGAGAAAGGAATAATGGTCACCTTTGTACTTAATACATCTTTACTCTTAGAACATACAAATCCTAACCCCTTGTGATATACAATCTGTGAAAAGCCATAGAAATCTTGAGAGAAAAGTCTGCTAGCAGTGTTTGAATATGCTCTTTTTCCAAGACTAACATGATTAGAAATTTAGTTTATAGTTTAGATGCGTCATGTTTGTGTTTAAAATTAAAATATATATTTATTATTCAAGTCTATACACAAACTTTTAAATTGTTGATGTTAAAATTTAAAATTAA